AATTTGTATCCCTCGTCTCGATAAACTTATTAAAAAAAAAATTGTAATGACTGTTAAATTAATATTAGACTGCACATTTACAAAAGTTATTGAATCCAGGACTTCTACACTGAGATGCAGTAAATCCAACAAGAAAAAATTGGAATACATTTAATTGAATGACAACCTCGTGTGCTTAAAATGATTCCTTTGTTGAATGTGTGCCTCATGCAATCTGGAAATCAGCAGTCAAAGTCAAAACATAGGTGTGTAGTCTACAGAGCAGTGATTGGGCAGAGGGCCGAACCCTCAGAAGACAGAAGAGCCCCCTAACTGCGTACTGCGCGTCGTGGACAGTCAAAAGACTCAAAACATTTTTGGACTCTTCTTTCTTGCTCTTTTGCAGAAAACACCATTCTACCTATGCAGCCTTTCTGTCTTTTGATTTTTCAACACTTCTCTTCCTATATTGTAGTACTAGCGTACTAGCACCTATATTATCTTTTCCATGAAAAAAATTCCATTTTCTCCACATATTAATTACATATCAAAATTCCTTTTTTTTTTTTTTTGAATAGGTGAAAGGGTTTGAAGTTTGAACGCAACTCTTTAGGCTGGGAGGTGCACTTTTTATTAAACAGTCTTATGTAGGGCAGGTGTTACTTGTCAAATTCCCTGTACTCATTGTTGGGCAGACTGATGAATGAGCATTGTATGACCACACAAAATTTTATTAATATCACATAAATTATAATGCTTGTATTTACATACAAATATTTTATTTTAAAATACGAAACAACTAAATAAAAATAAGGGATTAATACATGTCTACAAAAATTTCTAACATTTCGCCACCTGTGGTATTGAATACTGCTATTTCTTAATCTAATTGCATGGGATGATTATTAATTCGGACTGGTTGCAATCACCACCATTATTGATCAACATCCTAGTTTGAGTTGTTCTAATCATGAAGAAATCTAAGAACATTACATTCGAGGGCCCACTGCCTTCCCGGACAAAATGCATTTAGCCGGCTTAAGTATATAAACCAAGTCTTGACTTAATAGTAAAAGTGAAGTCTTCCATACAGTTTAATGAAAATTATACAATTAAATTATATGAATTATTAGAAATTTATAATATATTATGTGATTATATAATTAATTTTTTTTGCTTATAAGTAATTTACTTAATATTATATATATTTACTTATTTAATATATATTATATTTATTTAATAACACATTATGATTATAATTTTATAGTTTTAAATAATATTATAAAAGAAAATACTTTTTGTATAATATTTTCATCTTACTTTTTGTATAACCTGACGTGTCATTAATATGACTGATTTTTTTAATTCATGTGAAACTCGTAATATTAAATATATCCACTCATTTAATGACTTGTGAAAATTGTATAACAATGTGAGATAAAAAGATTATTCAAATAACACTATCCTATTATAAATATAACATTGTCAATTATTTAAGATTGATTTTCTTATAATTTATTGTTTGAAATTGTCAATTGATTGCAATTTATATTTAAATTCAATGTATGATTTTGATTTGTTGATTGGTAGTTGTAAATTTAATTGTATTCTATACATTTTTAAAAAAAAAAACTTACTTTTTAATATATGAACGGCTCTTCAAAATTAACAAAGTTTCTTTTTTCATCGAGTGCCAAATCAGGTCAAATCATTAGAAGAAATATTAATCAGATTCATGGTTTGTGGCTAGTTGTCAAGTACCCCAGCTTCACAGGGGTAATCATGTAGAATTCAATCGAATTGAGCAAAAAGAGAGAAAAAAAAAAAAAAGGAAAAAGAAAAAGAGAATTAATGAATCATTATGAGTGAAGAGGACTGACCCCACTAATTACATGATTGAAAGAGAAAATTCATGTTTCAAGCATAATGTAGTATTTTTGCAAATCACTACTGTAACAGTCACATGGTTTTGCCGTGGATTTTGGATCTAATTAAACTTGGATTCTAGAAGGTCGAGAACAAAAAGAATTTCTTCGATTCTAGAATAGGAGAGAATAAAAACAACAAAAAAAACTTTAAATGAAAAGGGTTAATATTGAGACAATTTAATAAAAATTTAACCAAAAAAATAATAATTATTTTTTTTTTAAATTTTTTATAGCATATCATCATCCAACATAGCAAGAAAAATCTTCGTTCTAAATTCACGTGTGCACATTATTGCCATTCATGTGCCAAAACTTATCCTTTTCTTTTCTTTACAAAATTGAGAAAGTTTTTCAGAGTCTCCTAGGCCACCAACAGACACTATAAATTCCAGTCTCCATGTTAACCAACAAAACCAAACAACAGCTAAATGACAGTTTGGAACAGTTTTAGAATTTTTCTTTTATTTTTGATGGGGCAGATTATTTTTCGTAATGGAAATATTACTAACGTAATATCACAATTTTACAATGGAACAACTCGACACTTAGTTCAGTGTAGTAAGTTAGGTTCACTCTTTCTGCCAAAAAAAAAGAGAAGAAGTTAGGTACACTCTAACTCTCTAAATCTAAAACTTGCGTTTGGAATTTTCTTTCTCCCAAAATTGTTATTTGGTTAGAAAAAGAAAATTCAATGGATATTTTTTTTGTGCATCGTCATTATTAATTTTGTTAGAGTTATTAAATTTTTATTTTTATTTAATTATTAAAAATAATT